TTCCCTTGTAATCATACGTAGGGTTCTTGAAAGCTCTCTTTCTTTGTTTTAGGCGTCTTCTGTTAGTTATTAGAGTCAGCTGTGTGATAAGACAGATTCATCTTTTATGCACTAACAAATCTTTTTAATCACATAGCAGGAACTAAGTCATTCAGCTGTAAGTGGCAGAATAGCTGTAAAAGCACCTTCAAATCACAGCTTCCTGTACTTTTGCCTTGGAACCTAAGAAACTGCTAGCAACTGGATACCTTAAAACTGCAAGTGGCTGTTTTATTATTGTTCATACAAGTTCATCCCACATCACCTAGAAACATAGAACGCTGCCTAATATTAGAGTTGACCATGGGTTCCTTCAATTCAGCACTTTTGCTGTTCTGTCATTCAGTCGCTTCTGACTCTTCAGGATTCAATGGACTGACCTCATTTTGTCCTAATTGTCTACCCAGAATGGCAGTGGCTCCTCAGACCTCAGGTGGGGTTTTTCTAGCCATGCAGACTTCATTGTACATGTTCAATCATGGCAATCATGTGAATGGTTAGGAGTAAGAAATTAGAGTGAAATGGTACATCCAGTCTTCCACAACCTAGCACACTCCAACTGTGTAGACCAAACTCCCAGAATTCTCAGCAATTCTGGAAAGACTGGTATAGTTTGTAGCAGCAATATATGCTTCTTCAACATTGTTTCACGATCCTTTAAGAAGCAGCCTTTATATTTTGTGCAACAAAAACATATACAGAGAGAAAGCGCCTCTAGTTCTTAGGATATAGCTTGCACTGCAGGGTGAGGCTAACTGGATTTTCCAACAAAATGATGTGAGGTCTGTAAACAATGCCTGACCTATTCAAGACTGCAAGCAAAGATGGGTAAACAGAAGATACCAAATTTTCTAGAGTTGCACCAAGGGTATTCAAATATTTTGATCTGATTCTACATTGCTATGAAGAGAAAATTCTAAGAAGAATAAAAAAGCAAATTAATCTGTGCTGCCCACTAGTCTATTTAGTCTACAGGAAAGATGAAGATCTATCTATATTAATCCAAGAAATGAAAATATAAATTTTTAAAAAAACTGTAGGTAAGAGAGTAACAGTAGTCAAACGTGACCCTTTCCAGATGTATTGAAAGCTGGTAAAAAGAGAACACCAAATAAATGTATATAAAATATTCAATAATGCTTTTGTTTCAAAATGGCACCAACTTTGCTCAGAAAAGAATGGCATCTTCCTTGAAATTTTGAGCTCTTCCTCTTCTTTAAATATCAAGAGAAAAAACCCACCATTTTATTTTTTAATTTCTTTCTTTCCTTTTTTTTAAGGATAGACAAACTTGTTCCTGTTAGGTTCAGAAGCAAAAAACAAAAACAGAAAAAACAAAACAAAAACAAAAACAAAAACCAGAAACCAGAAACCTCTCAAATATTCCCAGTCCACCATTAAAAAATTATCTCAGCTGCAGCTGAAGTCTGTTATCACTGGCACTTTACCGTAAGAAGATCTGATCCCAACACCATAGGATCTCCTTTCTCCACGGCAGGCAGAAGAAAGAGGTCTTTTTACCAGCCCTCCAGGCCACTGCCCACCCTGCTGCTGTGGCTGCATGTCACAGGGAAGGTTGGTTCAGGCCTCCCTACTGACATATGAAGAGCGCTGGAAAACGTGCTCATAAGCGGCAGTCAGGCATCCAAGAACAGATACACTTCTGCCACTGTTAAAATGTAAAAAAGGAAGAAGAGGGAAAGATCCTGGAGGATATAGATGCTTGTAAGAGAGATTGGGGTGGGGGGAGAATCCATCTTCTTTCTGGCTTCTCATTTACTCTAAGCTGGAGAAAAACTGGCAGGTACGATGTTTGCTTCATATTGTAATAAGAGCCCAACTGGATTTGTGTTTCAACTTGAAGTTAGGTAATGTCTAGATCACTGTTAATTTTACTTAATTAAATAATAATGATTTTGCCCTTTGAGAAAAGGTGTCAGTCTTTTCTTTCAATAGGGACTAACAGATCATTTTAGAGTTTGGGGAGGAATTCCCAGCCATCAGCTCACATTGGCTGACACCTATAGAAATGTTTACCTCCCCCCTCTTTTTTCCTCTGATGTATGGCATGCGCCTTCTGGCCTTTCTTCACCTCACTCTTTACATAGCAATCATGTTTTAAGTGGATCTAAATCAGGAGCAAAATAACCCATGAATGGAATACACAGTTGTAAACACAAAGCAGAATCCATTGTCTATTGCAATTCCCTGGCACGTGTGCATTGTGTTTACAACACAGGTCCCCTACAAAGTATTTACTATGTAACAGATAGAAGGCATGCTTGCAATATCTCCTCCTTTGCCTTACAATGTTTGGTAAAAAGAGTCTTGCTCGCATTTAGTTTGTGCTTGCAACAATATAACAAACTTCTAAATCACGGATAGGAAAACTTTTGGAGATGGAGGAATGATTTGGTCCCCACAGAATATTTCATAAATTGCACAAGTAGACAAAGTTGGTAAGTGGAGTCACAATACAGGCAGACACATCACACCCATGTATACCCACTCCTGCTGTTTCATTCCCATTGCATTCACACAACATCAATGCATTCATACTCCCCAACCCCCACTTCATTCACCAGAGAGGCTTAGCCTTTCTCCCAACATGAACCTGCTGTAGATAGCTGTTCTCTGCTGCCGTTGGAAGATGGAAAAGAACAATCTGGAACAAGCTTGCTGAGAGGCAGGACTTTAATTCCTCCAACGCCCCCCCCCCACCCCCTACTTCCTC